TCAAAAACCAAAGTGACCTTTCCAGGTCTGAAATCTGAACAATGACGCCAAGAAAAAAGCCCAACCTGACACCTGCAGATCTTGCAGCTGTACATAAATTCTTTAACCAAAGGATAGTCAATAGAAGGCTCAGGCCAGGTGGATTCACATCAGCTAAGAATGTGTTTGGCATCGCTCGCTAAAGTGTCACAAACATGCAGGGCTGCAGGAGAACCCGTCAACCATAACTCCAACAGAAAGGGAAGGTATAGAAGGAAGCCCAAAATAGTGGACATGGTCACACTATTGGCCCTTCCATTCCACCAAAGGAGTTCTATTAGAAGCACTGCAACAACTTTGGGTGTTCCTGCATCAACTGTACAGAGATTAGTGAAGAAGGGACAGATCAAGTCTCATTCAAATGCAATTAAGCCATTCTTAAAGGCTGATAACACAATCAGTAGGCTGCAATGGTGCTTATCACATCTCAAAGTAGAGTCACTCACAGTAAGTCTGGTGTTTGATGATATGTTCTGCATAATCCACATAGACGAGAAATGGTTCTATATAACCAAAGGTAGCCAGAAGTATTATCGGGTACCCAGTGAAATACAACCATACATAACAGTCAACAACAAAAGGTTCATAGAGAAAGTAATGTTCTTATGTGCAGTGACCAGGCCTAGGTTCAATGAGTCGGGTGAAAGTAGTTTTGATGGGAAGATAGGGATGTGGCCTTTTGTTCAGATGGTGCAGGCATAAAGGAAAGGCAAAAACAGACCTAAGGGCACACCAGAACTAAAACCAATAACAGTTGTGAACAAAGATGCATACAGAAACATGATAATCACAAAAGTACTACCTGCAGTTCATGAAAAGTGGCCACCGGATGATTAAGACAATATACATCCAACAAGACAATGCAAGGCCACATATAAGGGGAGATGATAATGAATTCGAGTTGACAGTTGACCAGATGGGAAGGGATGTGCAATTAATCAATCAATCACCAAATAGCTCGGATATGAACATCCTTGATATGGGCCTATTCCAGCTTATTCAATCTTTAAATGATAAATGCTCAACAACAATTTTTTCTGAACTTGTCCAGAACTGCAAGGATTCATTCATTGCATACAACCCTCATTCCTTGAACCATATTTTCCTAAGATTACAGTTATGCATGATTGAAGTAATGAAGGTTAAGGGGGAAAATGCATATGGACAAGTTCACATAGGCAAGAAGTCATTACAAAGGATTAACATGTTGCCAGTTTCAGTCGCCCCTCCCCCACTACTAGTGTGGGAATGTATAAACTACATGCAACAAGGAGAAATGGAGCAATAAGCAGTGAAGGAAGGAGCAATGATTGAAGCATAAATAAAGGGACCAATTTACAAAAGGGGTACACACCGGTAGTTTTGAATTTTGTTGTGCAAGTTTGGTTTAAAACAATTTTTTTTTGCAAGACCATGTATAGATACTCCATATTTTTGCATAGAGGAGTATATCTTTATGTTTTTATGTAACATTGAACTAGCCCCCAATTTGGTAACAATGAATTCAGTATTTTCATAATCATAGACTCAATAACAATGCAAACATAAAGAGTACAGATTAGGCCGGTGGAATATGGCCACAGAATAATGCACAAATAATCTTAGACTCAATAACAATGGACAAATAACAATGAATCATCCCTTAAGGAATATGGGCACAGAGTAATGCACAGATAAAGAGCAGAGATTAGGAATCATCCCTTACGGAATATGCCCATGGAATTCATCCCATGGACCAACCCTTTCCTTCGAGTTGACCTCCTCCTCGTCAGAGTCCGTGTCGCCAAACCCGGAAGAGCTTTCCTCCACCAAATCAGATCCAAATAATCTCCGAAGAGGCCAGCCTGGGCCAGTTTCTGTCAAAGTTGTCCAGCCTGGACAATCGGTGCTCTGGGACCGTAAATCTAAGTCGGCCACCGGATTCGCTAGGCAAATGGCAACATTCCTCAAAACAGGGCCATCCTTCGATTTCTCCGAAGGATGTAAGGGACATCCTTCGTTAAGCTCTTATTTAAGCAGTATCAGCTCAGAATCGGAGTCATACAGATCCATGCAAAGGAACAGTGGATTCGTAGGTCGGAGATGGCAAACAATGGTGGGATAAGGTGGCAGAGAACGGAGCCGGAACGGAGAGGAGGGTTTTGAGGATAAGATGGTCTCAGAGAAAAAACCGGACAGATGGACAGACGGAGAGGTCGTGTGAGAGAAAAATCAGAGAGACGGAGATAGAGATAAACCAGATAAACGGAGAGACAGGTTGATAGAGAGAGGATGCTTCGAGATATGTACACCGATAATGGGGAAATTAATGGGGACGGGTGGAATGAATATGATATGGTTGGGTGGGATGGGGATTAATAATGAGGAGAAATAATGGGGTAAGTGGGAAAACAAAATGAAAAATGTAAATATTTAATGATGGGAGGTTAAAAGGTGGTGGGGTCTATGTCTAAAAAGAGAAATGGAACATTTTTTTGATACATCCCGAAAGGGAAAGTGAGACAAGTAATTAGATACAAAGGGAGAATTATTTAAATTTATTTTCCCATAAAATTACTACCATAAATATTTATTTTAATCACAAATATGTAAATAGTTAACTAAATGATAAGGAGTAATAATATAAGTATGGTAGCGTATACAAATTAATATTTTTCTATGTTATAGATAATTTTAGATAGGAAAATTGTCCTAAATATGAGTAAAAAGTTTCCGAAATTCCAAAATAAGATTGTCATGTTTTTATTCTCGAAATTAGAGTAATTACCGTCATGTTCTAGCACTATGCGACTTTAAACATGATAGTATTTTTCAAATTTAACAATAATTACTTATATTTAGGAATTAAAAACGAAAAAATTGCACAAATATTACTCCCACACTTCTATTAGACAAATATATGACCAAAATTTAATTTGACTAAAAAGTGAGTAAAACCTTTAAACCTAATAATCCATCGCGCCTCTCTTTCTCTCGTGGCAACCTTTCCGCTCAAGTCCATCCCAGTAGACTAGAAGTCCAGAAGCGCGCTCCAAGCAATTTCTGTTTGTCCGCCCTAGCCTCCCTTCGATCCATGGCCGGCGTCGCCTGGTTTCTTTCTCCTTCTCATTTTTTGTTGCGTCTTCGTGCTGCCTCGCCGCCCCCATATCTCGTCTTGTCCAGATCTTTGATTGAAATCGACCAGGGGCGAAGATCTGTCCTCGATGGTTGTCTCCGGTGCTGGTTAAGTCATCCTGAAATGCCACTGCTGCTGGATGCGCCGTCGGTAATGGATCTAGAGTTACGCACGGCGGAAGGCGGCGACTAGAGTTACATGGTATGGCGTTGATGGAGGTGGTCCAGTAGCAGGGGAAAGAGGTGGTTCAGTTACAGTGGCGGGAGGCGAGGGCAGAGTTTGGGCAGCGATTGTGCATGGTCGGGGGCAGGTGTGGTGGGGCTGGGTGTGGTGGGGATGGGGTGAGGTGGGGCTAGTGGTGGCCGTGACTGTGGTGGGGAGGGGCAGTGAGAGCATGCAGGCGTGGGGCGGTGACGGCTGCGGTGACAGTCGGAAAAGGGCGGCCAGAGTAACTTACGGTGGGGGACTGTAAAATCGAGTGTCACTGTGTACTGGTGGCATCACTAAGACGGTGTCACTGTTGCGGTGACGGTGTAATTGGTGTGGAAAATTTTGACTGTGATTACTTTTAGTGACATGAAAAAAAGAATAAAGTGACATAAAATTTTTGCAGTGACATCGTAGACATGAAAAAACGAATAAAGTGACATAAAGTTTTTGCAGTGACATCGTAGTTCTCCAATTCAGAATATATGACTTTTTAATCACTTTTTTGTCAAATTTTAAAAGTAGTCACATTTTTAGAAATTCAGTTCATTTTAGTAATATTAAGGGAAAAACCCCATTAAAAACATGATAATCCTATATTATAATTTTGAAACATTTTTTATTCCAAATTCCTTTTTAGATATTACGGACTTGGAAGAGATACCCGCCATTTGCAAATCCCCTGATAGCCGCCTTTTTCAAATGCTCGCTAAGAGCAGTATTCCTCTCATCTTATTCCTAATGAGTACGGAGTATTACTTATTTCAAATACCCGCCATTTGCAAATCCCCTGATAGCCATGGTAATTCTTATTTTATTCAAATCAAATCAGATCAAAAAATTCAAATCAGATAAAAAGCATTCATATCGGATCAGAAAAATTCAGATCGAAACATATCAGAAACATTCAGATCAGATCAGAAAAGTTCAAACATGATATATCACTTTTATAATAATAATAATAATAATAATAATTATTATTATTATTATTATTATATTATGATTATTATTATAACAACAACAGCAGTAGTAGTAGTATTATGATAATAACCATAAGAATCATAATAATAATAATAATTATTATTATTATTATAATAACTATTAAATATTGAGTAGTATTATTATTATATTGAGTAATTATAATTATATTATAATTATAGAAATAAATATTAAAATTATAATTACAATTATAATTATAGAAATAATTATAATTAAAAATATAGTTACAATTATAATTATAGCTATAATTATAATTAGTGTAATATCTATAATTATTAGAATTTTAATTTTATTTACAATTATTATTATAATTATCATTATAATTTTTTTATAACTATGATTATAATTATATTTAAATTATATTTATAATTACAATTACAATTATAATTATAGTAATTATAATTAAAAATTAAAAATATAATTACAATTATATTTGTAGCTATAATTATAATTAGTGGTCGTAACTCGCAAGTTGAAAATTTATCAGGACCCCATATTTGAAACTTTTTACCTAGAAAGGTAAAGAAAGACGCGCATTAGTCATCGGAATGTCAATTAGCCATTTAATGTGGCGACGAGAATGTATAGAAAGCGAACCCAAATACCCCATACGCTGTGATGTTAAAGTCTCAACTTCCCCAAACGCATTTGCTTGAATCAAACTCTACTCAACTGTCAATCGCCATTCTCCATACCTTTCTCTCTTCATCTGCAATCAACCAAACTACCACTCAGAAAACTCCAAGAACACAACTTTTTATTATATTATTAAAGAAAAGAATACGTATTCAGCAGTAAGAAAGAATCATTCTTTTCATTTCACCAAAACCCTTCCAAATAAAGACGATTAAAAGAGAAATCACAATGCTTTCTTCATCTTCAAGCTCCACCAGCCCACCTACAGATAATGATGGGTTGCACCTGCAAGAAAGGGCCCTTTGTGGTTCTTGTATTTCTTCTTCCTCTGTTCCTGATTTCACAAGTACTGCAGAAATAGTAGTAATAGAGGAGGAGGAGGAGGAGCTGCGGGAGGAGCTGGGGGAGGAGAGGAACCCCAAGAAGAGGAGAGAAAGGGAAGAGGAGGAGGGCGATCAGCTGTCTTTCTTGACTGTTCTGGTGACTGTCTTTAGGAAATCTTTGGTTTCCTGTAACAACAACATTGAGGACCATCTTTCTTCTTCTTCATCATCTTCTGCATCGGTTTCTACTATGGAGATCAGCTGGCCTAGCAATGTCAGACATGTTGCGCATGTAACTTTTGATAGATTCAATGGATTTCTTGGCCTTCCTGTTGAGTTTGAACCTGAAGTCCCCAGAAGACCACCCAGTGCCAGGTTTCTTTTGTTGCTTTTTCTTAATCTTCTGTCCTAATTTTTTTTTCAAGAATTGTTTTTTTTCTCTTTCTGCCTAGTCATTCTATGGTCAATTAATAAATAAATGAAGGTAAGAAATTTAAAATGTATCTGCACTTCTTCAACCTAAAATTTAAAGTTTTGCCATTTTGTCTGTGTTAGACTGTTAGTGGGTTGGTGGGAGTAGGGGGTGGGGACTAGGAAAGGGGATTAGTGTTACACGCCATTGAAGGCTATTTTTTCCCAGGCTGCATGTATGGGGCGTGTATGACAATGGTAGGTTGTTGGTCATATTTGTTTAATTAATAGAGAATTTGAAAAATCGACAGCTTTCTCCATCATGTTGGAAAAAGCAAGGATGGATTTTTCAAAGAGTTTTAAATATTCAAAGAGTTTCAAATATCAAATTATATACAGTACGTTGTTGTAGGATTTGATGTAGATTCTATAAAAGCTTTTGCTTTTCCCAAATACCCAATAGTTCAAATGCTTTAGACTTTTTAGTGGCCGTTGGCTAGCTAATACGGAGTATCTTTAGGCAATATAAATTTATTAGCTACTGGTAGAAAAGAAGGGTGAAGACTTTTTTATGTTGCCGGGTAAATGATCATGTTTGACAAGTGCATATATTTCTCCTTTTCTTTTGTCACTAAAGTATGTTGTAAGTATAATTTTATATAATTCAGCATACCCCATCACTACTTCCACAACTTCAGCAGATTTAGCACTTTTCAACCATTTTGTCTCACAAAACTGGCTCTAAATAAACTTATGATTTCCCATGCATACATGCGAAGATTTTTTTTATATGATCTCTGTATCATGTAAAGCTTCTATAGTTCTATTCATCTGAAAGTCTCCATTGTAATAGTCTTGGAACTGAAGAATCTGACAATTATAATAACTACCCTTAATATACATTCTAATAATGTAGTACTAGAGTGTTTGGTGTTTCGACGGAGTGCATGCAACTTTCTTTTGACAGCAGAGGGAATTGTGTGCCTACAATACTCTTGATGATGCAAAGGCGCTTATATGCACATGGTGGCTTGCAGGTCTAACCAAATATGCTTTAGCTGTGAAATTCTTTAATCACTTTCAAACCACACATACAGATATAATTAATGTTCTTTTTGGTTTCAACTTTGCTGCTGTAGGCTGAAGGCATATTCAGGATTACGGCTGAAAATGGTCAAGAAGAGCTTGTTAGGGAGCAGTTAAATAACGGCATTGTACCACACGATATTGATGTTCATTGCTTAGCTGGTCTCATTAAGGTATTATTATTGCTTCATCAATTTTCATCATACATATATATAACAGAAAGTGAAGTTTAAAAAATTGAATCCTGAAATGAAAAATTGCTTTGAATAGGCTTGGTTTAGAGAACTCCCTAGGGGGATACTTGACTCTCTCTCACCGGAGGAAGTTATGGGTTCACAATCGGAGGAAGAGTGTGTTGGGCTCGTGAGCCTTCTCCCGCCGACAGAAGCTGCACTGTTAGACTGGGCTATAAACCTTATGGCTGATGTTGCCGAATCCAAAGATCATAACAAAATGAATGCAAGGAATGTCGCTGTCGTGTTTGCTCCAAATATGACTCAGGTTCGAGAGTAAACCCAAACTTCCTACGATGATGATCGTTTTGAAATGTCATGTTATTATGACTACTACTACTATTCCTTTTCAAGAAAGCTGTGACATGAATTTTCTGATGTCAAAGAGACTAATCTGACATTGTGCAAATATAAATAGCACTTGAACAATAGCATTTATTGTTTAATATACAAATAAATATTTTAGTGGATGTATTTATAATATTTTCTCATTTTCTGTGTTAAGGGATTAATATCATATACGAAATAAATATAAATCATGTATAAACAACTTATTAGGCATTGTATTAACCTTTAGGATTCGATCCAAAAAGTGAACCTGTAGTAGTCCAATGGTCTTTATATGTTGGTTTTTAGTTAGTTCTACGTATATTATAGATATTGAAATTATATTCCGAAGTATATTATAGATCAAGTTTTTTGTACTTTTATATTTAGTGAGCCTATGACAAACTCTTTCATATGAGAAACTCATGCTCTTCTCGTAAGGTTGATATGTTGGAATGAAATTTAAGTATGATTACATGAGTACAGGACACTAGATCATCTCTCACTTTCCCTTCTTTTTATGTGCTTGCAGATGGCAGATCCATTGACAGCACTGATGCATGCTGTTCAAGTTATGAACTTTCTCAAGATTCTCATTGAGAGGACCCTGAGGAACAGAGAAGAATCCACAATCGATGCTAACCCCGAGCAAGAATCCAACACGACCGATGAGAACTATGAAGAACAAAATGTCGGAGACGAGGAGGCCACAACTGGGGCTTTTCTGAGCTCTATTGAGAATATCCCTCCTGAGGGAAATGCAGATGACATAGATGATCTCCCTGGGAGGAAATTGAACAAACAACCTGATGAAACCAGCTCTGGAGAACACAAAGGTGGGAATGGTACCATAACAAGTGTGAGGAGGGTTCAACAAAAACACCGAAGAATGAAAAACGTGAAACTGGCCAGTTCCGATCATAAGAAGGCCTCCAAAAGAATCTGTGATCGCCAACCAGAAAAAAATGCAGAAGATAATAACAATGGGCTTAGCATCCGCGGACGAAGCCTAAATTCTCGAACAGAGAAGGTAAAAGCTTGGGTGTGAAATGATCAGTTTTTGGTTCTTGCTCATGGGGTCTGTATTTGCTCTATGAAAATTGTGCATCATCAACTTTTCATCTATCCTTTTTTTACGGTTTTCATCCATCCTTTTGTAGAGTTGTGCAATATATATGCTGATTTATGTGCCTTATGTACATTATTACATCTCAACTTCCTTTTTTATAGGTGAATATTCTTCCATCTGAATATACAGAATGTGTTATCCTTGCATGTACTTTATTACTGTTATTATTATTTGTTTGTTTTCATTATGAGCAAAGTAGACTTATAAACGTTGTACACTTGTACAGAGTATTAAAGATTCAAAGTTCTGGCACCCGCTTAGATATGCCGTGGGAAACCAACCCAAGATTTAGAGAAAGTTTACGAAGTGTTAATGTGAACACCAAAAAAAAATGTAGATTAGAAGTTCAAAGATACATGTATACAAATGATTTATTGTTTCTTTATAGCATAATAATTCTCAAGTTTTTTTGGGAAAGTTCCTGAAATAGGACCAAAACAATTTGAAAATTCCAAAATAGGACTGTCATGTTTTTTATTCCCAAAAAATGACTAATTACTGCCATGTTTAGAAAATACTGCCATGTTTGAAGTCTGGTATTGCCAAAACATGACAATAATTAGTCCTATTTTGGGAATAAAAACATGACAGTTCTATTTTGAAATTTTCAAACTGTTTTAGTCCTATTTCGGGTAATATCTCGTTTTTTTTACCCCGGGGGTGTCGGTTTAACTTCCTGTAATGGTTTTTGTTGTTGAAAACATGTATCTATACTGTATATAATTATTTCTTCAAATAATATTATCAAATAATATTATTGTTCACAATTCCAATTGTAGACTAACATGAAACATCCAAAATTTGAAATCATATTAAAAACCTTAATTAATAATGAAACATTGGAAGGAGAATGTATAATTTAAATAATTATGGGAAAAAAATTCCCATAATTATTAGAACTGGAACCATTACTTCCGTTCTGAATATATTACCTTATATTATTATTATGTTATGTTATGTTATGGGGAAAAATAATTAAAATACCCCAACTTTGAAGGGGTGTGAGATGAGCACCCTAAACTTGTATATGTAATTTAAATACCCCAAACTTTATATTAAAAGTTATTTTAGCATCATAGTCAAGTACTATTTCTTTCAAAAATGTAGATTTATGGTGTTTATTGAGTAATTTAAAATATTTTAAAAATTCATGAAGGCACAATTAACATTCTAAATTTCCATTTTAAAATAAATAATATTACCCCCAATCTATAAAATTGCAACACTTTTAATTTGCTATTTTAAATTATGCAATTAACCCCATAAATTTACATTTTAAAAAGAAATAATACACGATAATGGTGCGAAAATAACTTTTTATATAAAGTTTGGGGTATTTAAATTACATATGCAAGATTGGGGTGTTTACTTCACACCTCTTCAAAGTTTAGAGTATTTTTTTATTATCTAATCTTATGGTTTGAATGTTGAGATTAAAATGATTATTTACCACGGTGAGGTAAGTTTTGATGAAAGGAAAAGCATTGCTCTTGGCAGATAAAATAATCAACAATGATTATGAAATATTTGAATCCATTATAAGTTTGGATTAGCTAGAATTAACTAAAAAGGTTTGGATGTTTGAAAAAAACTATCAGAAAAAGGTAATCTTTGTTGTCTAGCTTTTTAACAAATTGAACAAAAAAGAAGTTGTGATCTTCATTGATATGAGAATCATTACAAAATCCAAGCTGCTTGAGCTTGTAAACAAGCAAGTGACCAGGTTTACTATGCCAAATGGGAACATTTTTATTGCTTATAACAAAATTTGAACTACTAGGCTGATTATTGTGTTGTTGATGAAGATTATTAATTATGCAGGAGAAGAAATATATCTCCAACATTTTTAGCAAGAACCAGAGGCATCTTCATTGAAGAAGCCTACATTACATAGATATGGGGAGCATGTCAGAAAAAAGGATTCATATGATGACTTGCATCGAGAGCTGAGGAATCAGCCTGAATCTGCTTCGAACTATGAGTTTCTCTCTGCCTTTCTTTCTGACTCAACAATATGATTTTGAATAATGATAGTTTTGATTAAAAGTGCATTTTGTGTAATAGAAAGAGTAAAAACATTTTGTTTCTAGCTTTTTAACTCTAAAACATTTCATTTAAGTGTAGATATCTATTTGTAAACGTGACTATTCTAATACAAATACAAGCATACGTACAAAAAAATTCACAAACAATTGATGTGACTATTCTAATTACCTTTGATGTAAAAGTGTTGTAAATGTTATAAAATTGTGTTAAATAATGTGATGATACCACATACCCCTTTTGTAAGACTATTGTAAGAGTTTTTGTAACTTTTTGTAAACGTTGATACTAACTTTTTGAATTTATGATATTTCTTAAGAAAATACAATCCTTTATAATCCACTCCAAATTCCCCCCTATATGTTTTTAAAGGAAATTTTTCCTGTTTAGATTACATGAATAAAGTCATTTACAATTAAAGTTAAACTTAAACTTTAATTTTACTTCCTGCTTAGTCGTTGATACACCCCACAAATTGAATTAGAAGCCAATAAATTGAAGAATTCAATTTCAAGGACATATCCGAGTACAAGCAAATTGAAGAATTTAATTGTGAGCAACATCCATGGAGCTTCCTTCATGTGCAAGAATGACAAAGGAAACCTCCTCAACCAACATTGAAGCTTCCTTATTTTTAATCACATCTTCCTTCCACCTTCCTAGTACCTAGTTTTGGTGCTATAAATAGAGAGCTTGGAGAGTCTTTCTATCATCAAGTAAATTAGATCATAGATCATCATAGCACAACCAAGAAGAGTTGGGAATATCCTTGAGAGATATGTGTTTGTTTTGACAGTTTTTAGTTAGAGCTTGTATGTCTCTTATTTCTATTCTTGAAAGTAATAGAGGTGTTTTTCTCTCATATTAGCACGATCTTGTTATTCCCAACAAGTGGTATCAGAGCCTGATTGAGCTTTAGATATTTCCCCCAGAATTTTCAGATAAAATTCTACTGTCTGAAAATTCGTGTTTTTCAGTTTTGATCGGAATTGCAATCTGGATATACCGTTAGATTCGTCTTGTCGAGATGAGAAAACTGCTATTTTTGGATAATTTTTTGGCCAACGGAAGCCACCACACACGCCACCTACGCGCTGATGGTGAAGAACTCACCAACGTCATCGATGACGTCATCCAGCACCAGTTTCCAGGAAAGAAGAAAACCAGGTCATCGCTGACGTCACCAGTGAGTCAGAGCCTCGTCAGCGACACGCAGGGAGTGTTTGCCCAGTCAGCAGCCCGCGTGTCAACCACATCAACTACCTGCTGTGCTCCTGCGTCAGCTACCACGTCAACGACCAGTCATCGCCACGTCACCTGCCACATCACCAGTCAGTTTTTAAAATTTTGAAAAATTGCAGTTTGGTCCCTCAATTTTTGGAAAATTATAATTTCTACCTTTAATTTTTCAAAAGTTTTATTTAGACCCTAAAAGTGTCTACCCCACCATTTTCGGCCGTTCCGGACGCAACGGTGCTGCCCATTTTTCAAAATTCTGATTCTATTTTTCTCAAACAGAAAATCAAAATTATTTAGAAGGTGAAAATGACCTTTGACGAGTCAACTTCATCTTCTGGAGCTATGATTATGCTCACGGCTATCAACTACATGCTATGGAAACCTCGGATGGAAGATTTCCTTAGCTGTAAAGACCTTTTTGATCCAATAGAGATGAAAGGTATTAATCCTGACCCGCCCAAGTCAATGGAGTGGAAAAAAATTAATAGAAAAACTATTGGTCAAATCCAACAATGGATTGACCATAGTGTCTTCCACCATGTTGCACAAGAAATCGATGCTTATGCCCTTTGGAAGAAGTTAGAAGATATGTATCAGGCCAAGACCGCTAGGAATAAGGCCCTACTAATGAGGCGTCTTGCCAATATGAAGCTCAAAAGTGGAACTTCTGTTGCCGAACATACTAGTCAGTTTCAGAATCTGGTAAATCAACTATCTTGTGTAGAAATGCCTCCTTGAGATGAAATGCAATCTCTACTACTTCTTAGTTCCCTTCCTGATAGTTTGGAGACACTGGTTGTTACTCTCAGCAACTCAGCCCGAGATGGCAAACTTACCATGTTTGTGGTCAAGGATGCATTGTTCAATGAGGAGGCAAGAAGGAAAGACATGAGCACAGACCACACTAATGCCCTTGTGATGGAGAATCGAGGAAGACCACAAGGAAAGCAACAAAGAATAGTAGAGGAAAGTGGCAAAGCAGGGGCAAAAGTTGGGGGAGATCATCAGATGGCTGGAACCCTTCTTATACCTACCACCATTGCGGTATAGAGGGTCACATGAAGAAGAATTGCTACAAATTGCTAGAGGGGGGGGAGGGAAAAGCAATTCACAAACGAAGAACAAGGGTGGTGAAGCACTCATCACAATCTCAGGTGATGTAGTGTATTGTACTACCAATGATGAAACATGTCTGCATGTCTCAAGAGAGGACACTGAGTGGGTGGTAGATACTGCAACATCTTACCACGTTACTCCCCATATGTACTACTTCACAACTTACAAAGCTGAAGACTTTGGAGCGGTGAAGATGGGTAATTCCAGTTCATCTGGAATAGCTGGAATTGGTGATGTACAAATAAAGACAAGTAGTGGGAGCACAATCACTTTGAAGGATGTCAGACATGTTCCAGACCTTCGACTCAATCTCCTATCAATGGTATGTCTTGATGAACAGGGGTATGAAAACCACTTTAGCAGGGGCACATGGAAAATGTCAAAGGGCGTTTTGACAATCGCTCGAGGACATGTTTGTGGCACATTGTACAAAACCCATTTGAGGATTTGTACGGATAGCCTCAACATTGCTGAGGAGGCTTCTCAGGATCTGTGGCACTTGAGACTCAGTCACATCGGTGAGAAAGGGTTGACTACCTTGATGAAGAAGAACCTTATCAACATTGATAAGAATGTTACACTGGGTCCTTGCAGTCATTATCTATTTGGTAAGCAACATAGAGTATCATTTAGTTCTACTTCAACTAAAAGATCGGAGTTGTTAAGTTTGGTACACTCCGATGTATGTGGTCCTTTGGAGGTGGAATCACTCGGTGGAAGCAGATATTTTCTGACTTTTATCGATGATGCTTCTCGGAAAGTGTGGGTGTATTTCCTTATAACAAAAGATCAGGTGTTCGAGTGTTTCAAGATATTACACGTCTTGGTGGAACGTGAAACAGGAAAGAAGTTGAAATGTCTTCGATCTGATAATGGAGGCGAGTATACTTCCAAAGTATTTGATGCATATTGTAGAACATATGGCATTCGACATGAGAAGTCATTACCACGCACCCCTCAGCACAATGGCGTTGCTGAAAGAATGAATCGGACTATCATGGAGCGAGCCCGGAGCATGCTGAATATGGTTAAACTTCCAAAGTCATTTTGGGGAGAAGCAGTCAACACCGCATGCTATCTTATCAACCGATCACCTCCAGTACCGCTAAACTTTGAAGTTCCATAGAGGCTATGGACAGGTAAGGATCCTACATACTCACATCTTAGAGTATTTGGTTGTTCATCATATGCACATGTATCCAAAGAGCTCAGGCAGAAGCTTGATGCAAGAACTATACAGTGCATTTTCGTTGGCTATGGAAATGAAGAGTTTGGATACAAGTTATGGGATCCTAAGGAGAAAAAAGTATTCAGAAGCAGAACGTTGTGTTCCACGAAGATTTGACAATAGAAGACATTGAAAAACCCACAATGTCTCGGAAGTCAAATGAGGCTGCTCAAGTTACAAATGAAGCACCTGAACTATTCTTGAGAAACAATGACGAAGTGCATGAAAATAGCTCAGAAGTAGAAGAGGATGAGGAGACAGAGGAGAGTGCAGAGCAAGGGGAGTCACAACCCAGCTCGCCAGGCACAAATGATGGTAGCTCTTCTCAAATGGTTCCAACTTGATAGTCCCTGTTTCTGTAACAGCAATGAATAACAATCTAACAAAGAAGATTAAACGTAAGGATGAACACAGATTGAATCGATGTAAACCCTCTTTGATAGACCGTGAACTCGTACAACACAAAAGTATGCGCGTAAGGCTATGAAGAATAAGTACGACGTTAACCTAATCCTAAACCCTCAGCTCCCTTTTTATAGGCGAGGTTTAGGTTAGGCGTACAAGGCTTTAAGCCTGATTATATGAGCCTAACACTTGGCCCAAGTGCTATCTAATTCATGCACTAATTAAATACAAGGATTAATAATAAAGCTAATCTATGACAAACTTGATTCACAATTAAAATATCTCCAACAATCTCCCCCTTTGTGATCAAGTGCCACTCTGTTATTGCTTCTGCGACTTGAAGTAGTGCTTCCTCATATTTAGTGCATGTTCATATTGCCTCAGCATATTTCTCTTTTCTAGGCGATCGTCAATGGCCTTTAAAATTGTCTCTACTGTAGAGTGTTCCTTTTGAACATAAGACGATGCCTCTTGAAGATTTTCCTCTAGCTCTGCCTTCATCTTTAGAAGCTGTTCTTTGATTATCTTCAGCGTTCCGTCACAGTATTTCTCAATTTCGTTGACTACCATCAGACGTTTTTCGTTCTTGTGGTTCAGATAAGTGACTCCTGGCGGTGTGAAGAAGATGTGGTAAGCTGGGAAGTCTTCGAGTTCTGGACCATACAGTCTTGGCTTTGTCAGATTTGTCTTTTTCAGGTTACACTCAATAGCCATCTGTAGGTCATGTGAAGAATGTACTCTGATCTGTCTAAGCATGAATCTCTTGATTGTTGCAAGACCTTCGCTGTATATTATGCTCTGCCTAACTGGAAGGTATCTATAGGCCATGAACATTTGATAGATGTCGTTGGGTTTAAGCATGATGAAGTCATTCTCTTGGCAAGTAAATTCACTCCTGTCAGTGCGTTGAAGTCTGTAAGTATAGAATGTTACTCCGTGATAATCTTCAGCCTTCACTTGTATAATTTGATGAATCGGGAGAATATTTGACTTCAGATCTTGTTCCATCAGTTCTCTCTGAGTACCGGTTGACCTTTGTAGTAGCATATGCAGATGACCTCCAGCCTGCTTTCCTTTTAGATGAGTAAGACCTCTTAGCTTCAGTTCATTCAGCGGTTTGACTCTGTCTGGTCTACGCCAGATATGCTCTCTGATTTCCTCTTGGAAGGGAGCTTTGATGCGAACGTTATCCCAGGGTTTCTCTGTCTTGGGAAGTCTTCCCACTGATTGTCTTACGACGGCTTCAAGAGTTTTCTGGGATTCCTTGTAGTTCTCCCCTTCCTTGCGTTCATCGTCCTCGAGCCTAATGATATCTTCAGAGCATTTGTTGATTAGCTCTCGTAGCCACCAATTTCTCTGCATGTCCTCTTGTTCAGCCTCATTACGGAGATCATCCCATTATGTCCATTGTCTTGGCCATTTGTCATATATCACCGCCTCCTCCAGTGCATCGTGGATGTCTTTGCCTGGGGAAATGTATGGAACTCTTTGCTGCTTTTGAGGCGGTGATTGTTCCTGGGTAGCACAACCGGGTTCACTTGGATTGCCCGTTGACATCAGCTTAGAACTAGGTTCCAACTGATGGCCTGATGTAAAAGATGTACCAGTGGTAGCATCATCAGGACTTCCATCCCCTCCTCGATTGGTATCTTTGGGAGATACGCCTCGGGATGTTACTTCTAGCTCGACCAGGCTAGATATTTTGGCTGTGGGTGGTGGCTGTTGGTTTGTCGAGGTTTCGGGTTGGATGGGCTGTGGAGTTTGGCTTGGTAAAGCAGTTTGCTCAAGTGATCGAGGTCGCTTGTTCTCCCCCTCATGAGGATCCGAATCATCGGGGTCCTCATGGGAACGTTTGCGACCACGAGGACTCTCCTTGCAAGTGCTCTTGGTTTCTGGTGAAGAAAGGAGGGCTTCGAGTATGGCTTGCTGATGAAGGGTAAGTTTGTCTTCATGGGTGTTTAGGAGGTTGTTCAGCAAAGCCGATGCAAGAGTGTCGAAGGATAGTGAGGATAGATCGATGGAGGGTGTGGTCGGGTGTGGGGAGAATACTAGTTCTGTATCCTGGGTTCCCCGAGAAAGTGAAGGAATGGGAATTTGGTTGATGGATTGGTGAGATAGAAGGGTGGAGGATACGGGTTGTGTATGGGAAATGAAGGGTTCGGGTGAAGGTTGGGGTGGGGGTTGTTCAGACCGAACCGCTTGGGTGGTCCTAAATTCCTGTGCTAGAGCGGTCATTGCATCTTGCACCCATGGTTTAATGGTGGAATCTAGGAAGCGATTTAGTAGAACGTTTACGTCTTCAAAGGTTGGGTGACCAGTTACGGGGGTTGTAACTGTTGTCACAGCACCAGTGAAGATTGCTGATGTGTGGCCTGCGTGCAATGATGGAATCATTGTGGGCGTAGCACGGCTTCCAACCGTCATAGCTTGCGCTCTGGTTGTTGCGTTCAGGTTGTGTGCACCTGTATGTGCAGTGAATAGTGTAGGTGATGGAGTATATGGGTCTGAGCCCCCGGACCCACATACTCGGAAGAACAGAAAGCACAAGACACAGAGTGGCGCCCTCGTCGGCCAAGGGACCCCCGTCGGCCGAAAAGGTGCCAGCTCAGATCATGGTCCTGAATCCAAGGAACCTGGGTGCCCTCGTCGGCCGTGCCCTCGTCGGCCATGCCCTCGTCGGCCACGCCCTCGTCAGCCACGAAGACCCCACAGAACCAGATTCTACACTTACTCATTTGTACAGCCCATTAGTGGCTTTGTATTCGGCCCAGTAGCGGTCCAGTTGTAAATGGGCCTCCCAAGCCCAAGGCTTGGGAGCCCAGCCCGTATTTTCTCTATAAATACTCCCCTTGGGAGTAGTTGTAGGGGTTCAGAATTCATTAATACCAAGCAAATATACTACTTCTCTCTCTAGCTCTCACTTCTCTCTAGAGATATACTCTATCATTTGGTGCTCTCGTTGAGAGCTAGAACAATCAAGTTAGCACCCTTCGTCGCTACCAAGCACAGCTAACCACTGATCATGGGGAGAACTAAGTCGAACCGCAACCTCGTCAGCAAAGCCATCCCTGAGGACCAAGAGCCCAGGGAGCACGATGAGGACGCCACGGCCGACCAGGTCGGCGGAGGGGACCTCTTCCAGGAGGCCTTCAACCTCACGACGGACCTCCGCAACCAACTCAACGGCGGAGCCCCTGATGCCCGCCCCGGCTTGGACAAGAAACGAGCTGAGAAGACGGACCACGCCCCGGCCCAGCCTATGGCCGCGGCCTCTTCGTCCGTGGATCCGCAGGTCCAGGCCGCGCTGTCGGTCATCATCGCCAGCCTGGCTCAGAACCCCACCGTCCTCAGCGCACTCTTGCCAAGGACCGGGGGGGAACGTCACTCAACCTCCTCAGCCCCAACCGTTGGCCGTCCAGATAGGCAACGATGAGGGGGTGGTGCCCCAGGACACGACGTCGTCCCACTCCCACCCTGCTTCCCCTCTTCGGCCTGGGCAGACCCCAGCGCGTGGAAAAGCCTCTGCCTTCAATAGGCTAGGTGACACGCGCCGTCGTCCGGTTTCGGAGAGGATGGCGGGACGGATTGGTGAGCCTCGTCCTGGCTCGCCGAGGGACAGCTTGGGGTCTGTGTCCCGGACAGCGGACCAGCCCCGCCCGGACAAGGGCAAGGGAAAGTTGCACGACGATGACGTGCGTCACCAGATCAACGCGGCTCACAACGAGCGCATGAGGAACCAGCCGGGCGCCGCTGCGGCCGCCAGGGACCCCCGGGACGAGGTCATCGCCCAGCTGGAAAGGAGGTTGGCACAGATGGAGGCCAAGCAGTCGGCCAACATCCCTATGGCCGGCGCCTCCAACGACCCCGGCCTCAACGCGCTCATGAACAAGGTTAGCGCCCTGGAGAGGGAGCTGGCCGAGGGGCGAGGCGACCCCATCATCCAGGTCAGGACCAGGACCCCTTTCACCAACAGGGTCCTCTCGGCCCCCATCCCGGAGAAGTACAGGGGAAACGCCATCAAGTCCTACGACGGCCGATCAGACCCCCGGGAACACTTCAGCCGTTACCAGAACAACATGCTGATGGTGAACGCGTCCGACGAATACCTCTGCCGTTGGTTCCTCTCTACTTTCGAGGGGCCAGCGTACGAGTGGTTCAACGCGCTCCCCGAAGGGAGCACCGACTCATGGCAGGATCTCGCCCAGTGCTTCCTCACTCACTTTGCCGGGAGGAAGCGCGCGAAGAAGTATTTCACCCACCTCCTCTCCGTCAAGCAACAGCACGAGGAGTCCCTCCGGTCATTCATTGATCGGTGGACGAGGGAAACCGAGGAGGTCGAGGGGGCCGATGAGCGCACCCTCCTCGCCTTGTATCAGGGAGCCTTCCGCAGCTCCCCGTATGCTAGGAGCCTCATCACCGACCCCCCGAGGTCGTACGCCAAGGCGCTCCAGCGCGGAGGCTTGTATGCCGACGCCGACGAGCTCCACAATCACAAGAGAGAGGGGGGCCATCCCTCCAAGAAGACAAATCCTTCGCCGGCCCCGGGTCCGTCCCCGGCCGGCCAGGGTGCCCAGGGCCGTCACGGCTCTGGTGGACAGAGTAAGAAAGATCGCCACTGGCGGCCGAGGTTGGAACGGCCGGGGGTAACCCTCACCCACCCGGTCGGCACCATCCTCGATTATGCCGAGAAGCACGGCCTCATCGAGCAGGCTCCTCGGCCGGCCGAGGAGATCCTTGCCATCCAGCAGGGCGGCACATACTGCCGGTTCCACAAGAACTCGTCGCACAACACCGACGATTGCATCACACTGGAGAAAGCCATCGAGCGCCTTATTCGCCAGGGGGAACTCTCCCAGTTTGTTAAAGGTGGCCCACGCAAAAACACATGGGTAAACACCGGCAAACATGGGGGCGAACCCTCTACGAAGAAGCGGGAGATTGGAAGGCTCAGCGACGACGAGGACTTCGAGGAGCCCCCGCCGAAGAAGAATCACATTCACCTCATCGTAGGTGGGAACACTGGGGGGGACTCCGCCACTCAGAGAAAGAAATGGGCCCAATCCCTTTACATTGGGGAGGTGTCCCACGTCCCCCCCAGCCGAAGAAGCAGCGAACGGAGGCGATCACCTTCACCGACAAGGATCTGCCTCCGGGTACGGAATCACACAGGGACGCCCTCGTCATCCAGTGTGAGATCGGTGACTCCATCATCCACCGCACTTACATCGATACGGGGAGCTCCGTCAACGTGATGTACCTGGACACCTTCAAGCAGCTGAAGCTGGACAGAGCTCTGCTGAGGCTGATCAAGATACCGTTATCCGGCTTCACCGGGGACTCTATCGACGCCGAGGGCACGATAATCCTCCCCGTGGAGGTCGGTGACGGCCCCCACCGCGCCAAGATTGACATGGAGTTTATGGTGGTCAACCTCCAGTGCGCCCACAACCTGATCTTGGGGCGGCCAGCGCTGGAGGACTTGGAGGCCATCATCTCCATGAAGCACCTATGTCTGAAGTTCCCCACCAATGACGGCATCGGCTACGCCAGAGGAAACCAGAGGATAGCCAGAGCTTGCTACCTCAAGCTAACGAGGCCGGCCGAAAGGGAAGGACAAAGGATAGACACCATTACGGCCGCCATCGCCACGGCCGAGGAGAGGCCACGTGCGGAGCCGGCCGAGGAGGTCGAGGAAATTCCTCTGGATACCTCCCGGCCGGAGCGGGTTCTCAGAATCGGGAAGCAACTCCCCCAGGACCAACGAGACGCCCTCCTCCTCGTCTTACGGTCGTACGCCGTTGTCTTCGCGTGGGGTCCGGACGATATGCCAGGCATCAGCCGCCAGGTG